TTATAAAAACGAAGTATAAGAAGTAAAGCCATGCTGTTATGTTGAGCTGTAGGGGACTCAGGTCAACAATTTCTGACATTGCCAGTGAAGTAGAAGCCCCAATACTATTATGTACTGAACTCTTTTAGAATATTTTGCTAAGTTAACACACCTATAATATTCAAATAACGGAACTAAACAAAAAAGGGGATACAGATGAATGTCCATTTTGTATCTGTGTATTCAAAATGGTTAGGATAGATATATAGTTACATCTCTTAATGATTAGAGGGATTTGTTCTAATGGTGTTTGTAAATAGAATATTATGTCCGCATCTTGTACAGCAATTAACCACTAGGAAGAATGTATGCAATGTGTTAATCATTGAAACTGTCCTGCCAGTTTGGTTTGAAACTGTCTCATCACTATTTGTTTATCAATAAAATAATGCAAAAAAGATTTACATATGAAAAAAAAGGCAGGAAAAGAACTGCTTCCTGCAGAATGAGAATGACCCATTGAGTCTGCAGTGGCCACAGGCTAACCGCAGTGATCTTTTTTCCTTTCCTTCAGGGTAACAGACATCTGGGCTGTCCTATCAATAACCGAGGAGATAGCTCAGTAGAATAAGTGCTTGACTGGCAAGTGCAAGGGCCTGAGTTCAATCCCCGGTTCTGCAAAAACAAACAAAAAAACACTAAAAACCTGATTTCATGTGAACGGACCTGAACACAGCTCTTCTGATTGGTCCTCAATGCAGGGCTTGGATCTGTGTGACTGGCAGGTCACCCTGTTCAGCCCCTTTGCCACACCCTAATCTCCTGCCTCGGCACTAGTGGAGGTTACTGGGTCCTCCTGGTGGGGTCCTCCTTGGACCATGTCCAGTGACAGAACAGAGTGTGATGGGGCTGAGAGGATGGGAACCAGGACTTGCTCTTGAGTGAGTACTGTTTCTGTTCAGGAGGATGAAAACGTGCTAAAGATGGGTCTTGGTAATGGTGGCGCAGTAAGTGGTTACATTAGATTTTCTTTCCTTCTTTTTCTTTTTTCTTTTCTTTCTTTTCGTTTTTTTTTTTTTTTGGCCGGGCAGCTGCTTATGCTGCTCAGCTATCTCCGCAGCCCCAGGAAATTTTCTTTTTCTTTCGGGGCTGGGAATTACCCTCAACTTTTCCAGACAGGCAAGCACTGTGCCACTGAGCTACTTCCCTGGCTACGTTAGGAAACTGTATACTGGACGTATTTACAATAAGAACAAGGTTTTCAGGCCAGCCAGATAGCTCAGCGGATTAAAGCACCTGTTTAGGCAGACGCAGGGCCCAGGTGTGCTGTGCCAGTGCTGAGAGGGCTATTGAGACCGGGCTTGGTGGCATGTCCCTGTAATCCCAGTGCTTGGGAGGCTGAAAACAGGAGGATCACTATGGATCTGATCTGTATAGTGAGACCCTGTACTAAACACACAAAAAATAAATAAATTTTTTTTTTCAAGTAATAAATATTTAGTCTTTTTTTCTGTATTTTAAGGAAGGGTCTACAGGGTGTTCAGGGTCTCACTACTAGATGGGACTCCTAGTGATCCACCTGTTTACAGCATTCCAAGAGCTGGGATTAAAGGCATGTGCCACCACGCCCAGTGTCAGTCACCATCTCAGGGAGCTCTGCAGGTGGGGCTGGCAGGGCAGGCCTGGGGATCAAACTGCGGCCCCTGCGCCTGCTTGCTGGTGCTTTAATCCACTGAGTTATTTGGCCCTAATATTTAGACTTATACACATTTTTTTTTTTTTTTTTTTTTTTTTTTTTACAAAATTGTAAGAGGGGCTGGGGATATGGCTCAGTGGAATAAATGCTTCCCTGGCAAGCGCAAGGGCATTAGTTCAATCCCCAGTTCCGAAAAAAAAAAAAAAAAATTTGTAAGAAAATACATCAATGTACCAAGATGAAATAGGAACTATCCAGCGCTAGTGAGGCTGAGGAAAACAACAACAAAAACGGATTAATTTTTTAAAAATTGCAACTTCGTGGAACCAGCCTGAGGCTAAAGAGTCACCAGGAGTTCAAGGCTAGCCTGTGCTACATAGTGAGACTCTGTCTCAGGAAAACAATATTGTAACTTCAGAAAAGTAGCGATGAGCAGATGATTCACAAAATTTGCTTGGCCTCTTTATAAGGTAATGGTATGCCAAGGTTCTGCCTTTATTTTGATGAATGCGCTGTGGTTATATAAGAAAATGTCTTGGGAATGTACTGGGAATTGAATCCAGGCCCTTAGCCCTAAGCTGCATCTTCAGTGCCTTTTTATCTTTCATTTTGAGACAGGGTTTTACTAAGTCCCTAAGTTTTCCAGAGTGGGCTCGAGGCTGAAATCTGAAGTGCTCTGCCACACCTGGCTAAGACACTGTCCTGTTTAAGTAAGAACTATGCACTGGAGTGTTCAGGCGAAGGAGGCGCCGTGTCCACAGACAGCACTCAGTGTGGAAAAATTAATTTACACAAGTTATACACGGAGGAGAGACATAACGGTAAAGAGAACGTGGCAACACGGTAGTATCTGCACACCGTGGGAAAAATGTATGTGGGGACGTGGACCTGTGTTGCAGTTTATAACAGCTTAAAATGAAAGAAGCAGTTTTAAAAGTCAGAGCCTTGCGTGATGGTGCACGCCTGTCATCCCAAGACTGGGAGGCTGAAGCTCCAGATCGCTCTGAATTCCAGGTCAGCCTGGGCTACAAAGTGAGCTCAAGGTCAGTGTGAACTACACAGCAAATCTCACCAAATAAAAACAATCAACCAACCAACGGAACAACAAGAACAAACCAAGCAGGACAAAAGCCCTGTCCCTGCTTCCCCACGTCCCTCGGAATGGGCCTTCTGGATCCGGGCGCTGGCGACAGCTACCCCGGCTTCATTCACTTGGCCCAGGGCTCCTCTCGCTCCGCGCCCCCCTCTGCGTCCACCGAAGCCGGGTTCTTGCACCTCCGGTGAGGAAGCGATTTACTTTGTTTATTTTGTTGCTAAGCAACACTGCCTACACCGCACCACCCAGAGAGGCCAATCAGAAGCAGCCAGCCCTCTGGGTGTGCTGAGCCGAGGCTGAGAGTGGGACCGGGAACCCCGCGCCCCGCGCTGCTGCACTCTCCGAGGAGGGGCTGGGCCAGGCCGTGCAGCTCTGCGCACCCCGTGGAAGCACCGCGAGCCACTCCCTGCTCCCCGGCAGCGCCGCCGCTGCCTCTGTCGCCATGGCAACTGCCTTCCCAGCTCAGGCGCCCAAACACGGCTCCGTGGGTGTCCAGTAGTGACCGGAGTGTCCCCTGCCACGAGTAGGAAGCCGATGAGGCACGTCAGGGAAAGGCTGACCCAGGCACAGTCATTTCTACCGACAAGGGGCAGAGTGGAGGCTGGGGGACTGCAGGCGGGGAAGGTGATCTGGAGGTGGCCCCCAACTTCCCAGCCCCCAAGGCAACCTAAAGACAGTTGGCAACTGACGGAGGCCGTCGGACGAGCTCAGGCAGAGGCTCGGGAAAGTTCCACAGACCGCGAGGAAGGCTCAGGTGCTGTCTGGAAGCTCCCTGGAGAAGGACACCCTGAAACCCCCGCGGCAGCAAGTCAGGGTAGCAGTGCTCCTGAGCCCAGGTAGTGCTGCAGGGCATGCCGTGGCCTCCTGGACTGGCTGCTGTGGCCTGGAACAGAACTCCGTGGGCAGAAGGGCCTGGCTGTGGTCTGCTGTGGTTTTGGTTTTTTGGGTAGCTTGGTTTGTGGGGCGCACCTGTCATCTCAGTACTCAGGAACTGAGGCAGGAGGAGCCCTATGAGTTGAGGCCACCTTAGGCTACACAAGGAACCTTGAGCAAGCAAGGCAAATGAACAAAAACCGAAAACAAATGAACCAAAAACCAAAATTTAAAAGGAAGGCGGGGCCAGAGAGATAGCTCAGTGGCATAAGCACTTGCCTGGCAAGTGCAAGGTCCCAAGTTCGATCCCCAGGAAAGCCAGGCAGTAGTTGGAAATCAGCTTTGAGACCTGCCAGCCTGCATATTTTCAGGGCCTAACAAGAGATCACACAGAATTGCATCAAAATAAAAAATGATCGCTTTCATCAGCTTACCGCACAGTGGTGACAGAGGCCAGGCCGCTTTAGCAATAAGCCTTTATTTCTCACAGTTCTGGGAGGTTTTGGAAGAGTCTAGACTGAAGAGCTGGAAGGTACAGCATCTGCTGAGCCCTTCTTCCTGGATTGCAGGCAGCCCCCTCCTTACTGTACACACACGTAGGAGAAAAGGAGAAAGAAGGAAAGCCAGCTCTCGGAGGGGCGCACGCTGCCCACCTGATCTAACCCTAAGCACCACTTCCACATCTGTCTACTGGGGCTGAGGACTCCAAGGTGCGAAGTGGCGGAGGCCAGGTTCAGTCCCCAGCAGTAAAGAAGACAAGACCACATCGAAAGAGATGCAGCATCACTGTTTAACTGTTTCCAGGGCGGGGTGAGCAAGGCCAGATCACTCCAAAGGTTCCAGTGTCTTCAGATGTAGGCTGTAAGGAAGAGTTTCACTTAGAGCAAGGACAGTTGTGCCTTGACTTACAGTCAGGCCACATCCCGGTAGCACACTGTGAATTGATCATGCCAGCTGAGCACGCATTTAATTCACTTTGCTTATGAACACCACACGCAGCTTAGCTGCTTCTGCCTGGAGCATGCTCAGAATGGTAAAATCAGCCTGCAGTTGAGCAAGCTCATCATACAAAGCCTAGCTCGTAATAAAGTACTGGATCTCCTGTTGCTGAGTACTATACTGGCAGTAAAAATGGAGTGATTGGTTTGTGTTTGTTTGTTTGTTTTCGGTACTGGGGATTGAATTCAGGATCTTGTGCTTGCCAGGCAAGTGCTTATGCTGCTGAGCTATATCCCCGTGGCAAAGTTGAAAAATTTTACACAGGGGCCATTTGTGTACAATTTCAAGTTAGAAGCGAAGATATCAGATGAATATTTATTTAAGAAGACTCAGGGCTGGGGAGATGGCTCAGTGGAAAAAGTTCTTCCCTGGCAAGCGCAAGGGCCTGAGTTCAATCCTTGGTTCTGAAAAGAAGAAGAAGAAGAAGAAGAAGAAGAAGAAGAAGAAGAAGAAGAAGAAGAGGAAGAGGAAGAGGAAGAGGAAGAGGAAGAGGAAGAGGAAGAGGAAGAGGAAGAAGAAGAAGAAGACGACTCAAGCTGTTGCAGTATTCAGGACGAGACCAGACGAAGGCACAGCAGCAGAGACACCTTGGAAGGCAGATAGCTCTATTACTCTGCACACTGGGGGACATCAAGGTCCAGATCACCAGCTCTTTGTTAAAGTAAAGTAGTCATTTATCTAGGCTTTCAGAAGGAAGTACAACAGGATTTGTACTTTGTACTCATAACCAATTTTATAGTTGGTTACATAGGCTGGGTACTGTGCTGCCAGGCAGCCTTCTTCCACATAAGCTAATTGGAGTTACCACCATAACAGGGAAGAATCAATCATGGTCTGAGACCAGGCACAGGTGGCCGTGGGGTGATCATTTTCTGGGACTTCACTGTCTTGCTCAGCGGCACGTATCCCGCACCTGGCTCCGGGAGCTCCATGGCTTGTTAAGCTTTATAGTTCTCTAATTATGAGAATTAACTGTGTTTCCCAGACTCATCCTTGAACAGTATTACAAATATGATAGCGTTAGAAATACACGATTGAAAATTTTATTACATTTAAAATAGCCCTACGGGGCTGGGAGATAGCTCGGCAGTCTAAGCACCTGCCTGGCAAGCGCAAGGACCCAGGTTCCATCCCTGGTACCGCAAGCTGTACCGGCCCCAGAACCCTGGCAGGCCATGCCACCCTGAAACCAGCTTTCTGGCCGGCCCTTGTAATTAATTTTTTTTTCTTTTTTTGCGTTACTGACGATTGAACTCAGAAACTTGTGCCGAGTTCTACCGAGCTACCTCCCTAGCCCTCCAGTGCTGGGATTGTGGGTGCGAATGCCATCCTTGCCCTGGGGTGGGTAATTTGCACACTTGCCAGGCAAGTGCTTATTCTACTGAGCTATCTCCCTGCCCCCCTCAGCGTTTTCTTCTGCTGCTAGGGACTGCTCCCCTCGGCCCCGTGGTACTCCACCTTGGAGCCAGCCAAATATGGATTGAAACCTCCACCAACTGTGTGCCACAGAAACCTTTCCTTCTTTAACTCTGTGTGTTGGGTATTTTGTCCCAGCAGTGAGAGAAGAGTAACTGAGACGTAGGCCAACCCTCAGAGCCTGTGCGAGGTTAGGAGTATCCTGCGGGGGCCAGCATTTTGCCCGCTACACCCACCTTCCAAAGGCAATGATATTCAGAAGTTCATAGTTCACCTTTGAAAATGTATGTTAGGGCCAGCCGGATAGCTCAGCTGATTAAAGCATCCAGAGTTCAATCCCTGGAGTGCTGTGCCGGCCCTGTCCCCCAGACACACTGAGACCACTGAGATGTGACTGAGATTGGGCGTGGTGGTGCATGCCTGTAATCCCAGCGCTTGGGAGGGAGGATCTCTACGAGTCCAATCTGTGTAGTGAGACCTTGTGGAGCTTATACTAAACACACACACACACACACACAAAAAAAAAAAAAAAAAAAAGAAAGAAAGAAAAAAAAAAGAAAAGAAGAGAAAGAAAGAAAGAAAACCAAAGTGTCCGTTGACCATACAGAGTGGCCGTGATGTCCTGGGGCTCAGCCATGAACGCATGCAGGGGAGCCCCACATTTATCCTTGCATTTGGGATTTATTGTCCTAGTGGCGAGATCTAATTTAGCATGGGAAACCTAACACTAATTTGAAGGATTCCTGAGCCAAGGGCACCACTGAACATCAACAGACTATGATGCGATTAGGAGCTTGGGCCTTTTGACAGAGATTAGGTCATAAGGGTGGAGCCCCCATGCATGCAATTAGTGCCCTTGTAGAACGCCACTCCACTGTGTAAAGTTTCTTTTTCTTTTTTTCCGGTACTGGGGTTTGAACTCAGTACCTCACACCTGACAGGCAAGGTACTGAACCATGACAAGTACATTGCTGTTTGTATTAGCTGCCCAGTGAGTTATATTTTATTAAAGTAGCTCAAATGGACCAGACGCTTGATGCAGATGCGCTTCTGCTCTCAAGGGGGGAACTGCTGCTGCGGCTGCCGTTTTGCTGGGAATCTCTGGGGTTGCACGGCTCAGCTGGGTCTTGGGATGTGTGCTCACCTCCAGTGATGTGAGGTGACCTTCAGAAAGACTCAGTAGGCAGGTGTGGGGACCACACTGGTGGCCATGCTCCCCTCTTGTAGGTCATCAGCACACTTCAGTAAGTGAAAGTAGCCCAGAAGTCCTGAAGTACAGATGCCTAGAAATTTTCAGCTGCTCTGCAGCCCTTCGTAGCTTATAACACATCCTTGCTTAGAAGGGGGAAACCATAGGACCCGTCCTCTGGAGTGCAAGGGCACGTGGTGCCTGCTCTCTGACCCTATTTGTGATTTGGGGACTGGTGCTAGCCCCCCACTCCCCTGTGCCCTCTTCCTACCAGGCACCAGCTCACCTGCTGCGTGTGGCCTCAGTCCAGGATGGAAGCATGTTTGTTCAAGAGTGATTGATCTTGCCGGCACCGCAGCTAGTTCAGGGTGCACAGCTGCGCTCCCCTCCCTCTCTGGGGACTCTGAGTCCTGCCTTCCTGTGGTTGGCCTTTGAGTCGGGGGTGGTACCAAGGCCACCTTGAGTCCTCACAGCTGGGTCCAGCTGGCTCTGAACTGACGGCGACACTGGAGAGTGGTGCTCGTTTTCCTCCTTCCATCTTCTCAGAACAAATTCAAGTCCAGGTCCAACATGTCACCTGGCAGACCTGCCACACAGGAAGACCTGTAGCAGCTGACCCAGGCTGATCTTGTTTTTGGCAGAAATAGACAAACAACACAAAGAGATTGTGGTTTTACCTCGCAGAAAAAAAAAATTGTGAGGGGCTT